TAATTTTTAAATAGAATAGTTTTATTTACACAGAGTGAAAACACATTTGACATCAGTTAATTAACAAATTACCCAGTGCTGCTTCCCATTGTAAAGAAACTTTGTAAAGAAACATCCACTTAAACAGTCTGTCCAGTCATATTTACTTAAAAAGTGGTTGAAAGTGAAGCATTGATGCTTCAAGATGGATTTAAATTAGAGTTTGACTCTCTAATCCGAGATAGGAGAAGTAAGTCCTGCTATCATTGAATGAGGAATATTAGAATTCTGGTTCCATAGCTGAAGGTTGAATTTTGAGTCCTTAATGCACGGAAGTGATGCCTGAGCATTGCCATAGAATCACCAAGTATGTTTCATCATCTTACTGCAACATGTAACATTTTTCTATCCCATCATTTTTACTCCTGCTGTCCTATATATTTTCTCATCCTTTCCCCACCATTTCTCACTTGCTGACTCTCTTTTTCTACTCTGTTCTTTCCTTCATTTCAGCATATTCATTTGTAGTTTGTTCATTCTTTTCCCACTCATATTGAGTTCCTGTTCCCGTCACACATTTAGTCCTCCTTTGTGAGTGTTCAGACCTACCACTTGACCAGTTAATATTCCCAAGAAAAAGATGTCAAGATGTTGAATTGTTAAACTATTTCCACACGAGCTCATTAAATCTATTTTTATTAGACAATTCACATTAGCAGCTGTCTCTATCCTTACTTGTCAGCATTGTCCATCAAAAGTGTGTGTTTGTGGAAAAAAGCCTTGAAAACAATCATCTCAGTGGTATAGAATTGCAGACAGGACTCAGAGAAAATTCATCTCTCTGTGTTTATACTGTGAGTGCCTGGAAATCCCTCCTAAGGCACTGCCTCAATTTCCCTGTTTGTTCCAAATCTAGAGTTCCCCAGCATAGTCCAAATTGTCCGAACTTTCACATCCCAGCAGTTCATCACCTCACCAAGAACACTCCAGTGTCTCTCTCCACATCCCAGTTCTCTGATGCAGTTTCAGCATTTCTCACTGCACATTCTAGCCCCTCCAGCTGGGATGCTTCTCTGTCCTGTTTCATTCCCAAGTCTGGTTCTAGCTATCACTTGGAAACATCAGCAGGCTCACCCTGCTATCATTCCTCCTCCTTTTCTAGCCCTCTGGCTTCAATTCTCCAGCCCAGAGAGCAGAGGGTATCACTCTCTGCTTCTATCCTTCTTTGGACCTATTTTGCCAGGATTGTTTAGACTGGGAAAGGAGCCCTGGTTGCCTTTCTGCCTTCTGCTTTCACCAGCCTGATCTGGTTTTGCTGCCAGCTAGAGAAGTTTCACTGCTTCCTCCTTCAGGAGCTCCTCTCGTGGAAGCTCTCAGCCCAGCTCTGCTCTTCTCCCGAGCTGAAAGCTGTTTCCTCTGAACTCTCCCTTTCTGGCTTCTAAATTCTGAACTTTCACTTGTGTTTGGGCTGTCTCTTATGTATAAGCCCCAGGCATAGTTGCCAGTTCCATTGGTACTCTTCATTGGTAAAAAGAAAATAGTGGGGGCTGGCATCTGACCCCAATCGGTTCCTCCTCCACACCAGCACCTCCCATCTGCCAGAGGCTTCACCAATCAGCTCCTCCCCTTCCTTTCCAGGGCGGGGTCAGCATAAGGTGGGGATAAGGTCAAAACAAAGAGGGCAGGGGACTTGGGTCACAGCAGGGGTCAAGCACCTTCCCCAGTGCAGGTTGGCGGGAGGGGAGCAGGTTGCAGGTGGCTCAGCGCCACCCTGCCTTGGCTTGCAGGCTCCACCTCCTCCTGTAGTCTGGGGAGAGGGGATCCCCGAACCTTGCAGTCTGGATCAAGGGAAGCCACAGGCCATAGGTTCCCCATCCCGATGTAGAGTATCCCTGACAGGTGTTTGTCTAAACCTGCTCTTAAAAATCTCCAGTGATGGCGATTCCAAAAGCACCCTCACTAATTTATTCCAGTTCTTAGCCACCCTGACAGTGAGAGAATTTTTTCTAATGTCTAACCTAAACTTTGCAATTTAAGTCCATTGCTTCTTGTCCTGTCATCCAAAGTTAAGGAGAATTATTTTTCTCCCTCTCCCCTGTAACAACCTTTTAGGTACTTGAAAGCTGTTATCATATCCACTCTCAGTCTTCTCTTTTCCATAGTAAACAGACCCAATTTTTTGAATCTTCCCTCACAGGTCATGTTTTCTAGACCTTTAATCATTTTTATTGCTCTTCTCTGGACCTTGTCCAATTTGTCCACATCTTTCCTAAAATGTGCCCAGAACTGTACACAATCCTCCAACTGAGGCCTAATCAGAATAGAGTAGAAGAAATACGTCTTGTGTCTTGCTCACAATACTCCTGCTAATACACCCCCGACTGATGTTTGCTTTTTATGTAACACTGTCACTCTGTTGACGTATAATTAGCTTGTGGTCCACTATGACCTTTAGATCCCTTTCTCTCATACTCCTTCCTAGATAGTCATTTCCTATTTTGTATGTGTGTGACTGATTGTTCCTTCCTTGCAGGAGTACTTTGCATTTGTCCTTATTGAATTTCATCCTGTTTAACTCAGACCATTTCTCTAGTTTTGAATTATAATCCTATCCTCCAAAACACTTGCAACCTCCTCCCAAAACTTGGTATCATCTGAAACTTTCTAATTCTGCTCTCTATGCCATTATCATAATCGTTGACAAAAATATTGAACAGCTCCAATCCCAGAATTTATTCCTGGGGAACTCCACATATTATGTCCTTCCTGAATCACTGTGAGCCATTGATAACTACTCTCTGGGGGCATGTCTACACTAGGAAATTATTTGAAATTAACTAAATTTGAAATAATAGCTCCCAAACTAACAGAACTAAAATGGTGTGTTCCCCACTCCAGGGCAGCCTCAAAATTAGTTTGAGGCAGACATCCGTTATTGTGGATGCACTATTTCGACTGAGAGCCCCAGGAAGCACTGGAAAGTAATTATTTCAAAATAGGAGCAGTAGAGCAGCCCCGCTAAAGCTATTTCAAAATAACTATTTTGATATAAGTATTATTCCCTGAGGAAAGCAGGAGTACAGATTTTGAAATAACCAGCTTGTTACTTCGAAATAACAGCCTTAGTAGTGTGGACACTCTGTTTATTATTTCAAAATAAGGAGGGTTATTTCAAAATAACTACCTAGTATACACCAGGGCTAGGAGTGGTTATCCGACTATGGAGTCTAGGTTTCATTTCCCTAGTTTATTTCTTAAAAGGTCACGTGTATCCTTGGGAGAGTCCCTCTTTCTTCAGAATCCCATGAAATGCCATTCTCCATTTTTCAGGTTTTCTCAAAGGAAAACTCTGGTGCTCGGTGATTATATCGAATATTTAGGAAAGAATTTTTAGAAATAGACACCATTATTTTGGCATCCCCAGTGAATGAACCTTTCCCAGTTGTTATTTCCACACCATTTAAAACATTAAAAACACTTTGACAAATGGTGGTTTCTAGTGCTTCCTAAAGGGAAAATAAGTTCACTGCTATTTTGCATCAGTGGATACAAAGAGGAATCATGTTGGTGGGGGGCGTTTTGATGGATATTTATAGTTTAAAAACTTAATTATTTTTGGTTATTGGCTCTTTTTAGTAGTTACTGTGGTTGCTCAGAAACTGGGTTGTTGGTTTTTTATATTTTTTTGCTTTCATAACTAGATAATGCCACCTCAGGATTCATGAGTAGACTTGATACCAGGGAATATTTATCAAGTTACCAAAGGCAGAGCTGGAAGATGTGGTGTTGTTTCAGATTTTTATTTTAAATGTCTAAGCCCTTCAATGCAGAGATCAATGCCATAACGTGTCTCTTCTTCCTAAGATGCAGAGTTGAGATTGACTACCTTAAGGACTCATTGTGTCTGCAATAATGAACAAAACTACTGAAAAATAATTAAAGAACTTGCTAATCAGTTCATTAATCAAGTGTCTCTGCTGCACATTAAACAGAGACAAATAGAGAACACCACTAGTAACCAAAAGTCCTCTCTCATATAAAATCAAATGTAAAGATAAATACAATTGAATTTCCTTTTGTGGTTTGATTTGTATCTCGTTGCATTTCTATAAACCAGCATTTAAGCAAGCTTCCCACTCTTGGTTTTGAAAACTGGTCCTGAACCTCCATTGACATTTGCTTGATAAACACCTGAAGTCTGCTCATTGTTTGTAAAAGCTGCATTTAATCAGCCATTCTTTAATGTTGTTCTCTCATTTAAACCCACATATCACTGCAGTGTAACTTAGCAAACGTATAAAAAAAAAAGTGCTGCTATTGCAAGGTTTTGAATTGCAGTTATATTAGAAGTGAAACATGATCATTCTCAGTTCTAAAATGTATAGATGTTAGTGTCGTAGGTATGTATTTTTCTCCTCCCTGTCCTTCCCTCCATTCTTTTTCGTTATTTATCCTTGAAAATAATGGATATGTGGAGGATTTTATGACTTTTTTTAAACTCTCTCGACACACAGTTGAATGATATTTACCAGTGCCCAGAGTGCCATGGAGAGAGGTACTTTTCAAAATACTCTTGGTAATACCATACAAGTATCCTTTTCATAGTATGGCAAGGAGATGAGGTAATATTGGAACACAGAGCTCTTCTTCAAGTCCACTTCAGGTCTGTGTAAGCTTGTAAGCTACTCTTTCTCACCTCTTGCCATGCTATGCTATGAAAACCATATTTTTTCTCCAATATCTTGGGACTAACAATACTGCACAAATATAAATATAATTTAAATATTAAAATATGGAACACTTTCTACAATTTTCTATAGAAACAAAAACATTAGATCATATAGAATTTCATTAGAATTTTTACATCAGAGAGGGCAATAGTGTTTCATTATGAATGTCACCAGCAAGTGAGATATTTCATCTGTATTAAAAAAGGCTAAAGTTCATATTTCACAGAGAATAAATGTTCCTTACTCTGTCCAGATTGTTTTGGATCAGCATTTAAAATCCATTAAACTTGATAATATTCAGTTGTTTAATCAGAGTAAATTATGTAAGTGCTGTTCTCAATTAATGACAACTCTGATAAAAAGTTATATACCAGTTTGGGTTTCTGCAAAAAAGTCACAAAGTAGTCAGAAACCAAAATGAACCTTAAGGGAAGAAATGCTCTATAAGACATCATTAGGAGAAGGTTAGTTATTCAGGCATAGTCTGTTGGCTGTTTTGTCTTTTGGAACCGAGCTCCCTTACTTTGTTCCTTTTTTTATTATTATTCTTTAATCTTCCATCCTGTTAAATGAAACATTAATTTCTCTTAGGGCCAAATGCTTATCTCAGTGTCTTGATACAGTAGATGGGCTGCATCCATGCCTAGGTCTGTAGAGCTGATGCAGGAAAGGTTCATTGTATTTACATATATAGTGTGTGATTCCAAAATGATTTGGTGGTCTTGACACAGACAAAATCCTTGTCCCAGAAAGCTTACAATCCATGTGACTCTTTTGCTCTTCTGATCCTGTCTTTAGCAGATCTGTAGTCTGTGCCTCCCCCCATAAAGAAGGGCTTTTACCATAATATGTACACACCCCTTCTACTGCTACTATAATTCCAGCTATACATGCCCTTGCATTGGGCCTTAATTCAGAATAATTGAGCATAACCTGTGTAGGACATATGTACTCTTACATAACGTGTGTCTTTGGCTAAACTAGGTTACTGTTTGATCTTTTTAGCAGATCTTGCCTCAGATATTTTCTTGGAGTTTAATTTGATATTCATGTATTCAGTGTAAAGTTTTGTACTGTTACTTTGTGCACTTCAAAGCTCCCAACTGCCTCTTTATTAGATTGTGGCTGTTACTCTACTCTTGTGTTGCCTTTAACCTCAGTTTCTCTTGCTGGAAATTGCTGCCAGAGCAGCAGTTTTCTTCCTCTTGGGGTGGTATAATCTGCAGCTTGTATGAAAACTATCATCAATGGAATTGCATGGTTAGGATTTTGCCAAGTGAACTTCAGGTCACATATTCTTCGTGAAGGTCCAGAGAGGATGAGCCATCTGTTTAGCCACTTTTACCTGTTTAAAAAGCAAGAAATTTCAATAAATGTGTTACTACTACTCACTCTATAACTCTGGATTACATAGCCACCTTTTGCAGCTTTAATTTAGAGACTGTTTTTGTGCAACAAGATAATACTAAATAATTCATTGAGAAACTGCATATTTTTATTTGGGAGACCCTCCCCCTTTTTTAAAAAAAAATCTTAAAATAAATGATATTTTGGTCAACCATGTTCAAATTACATATCTCACAAGTCTCCTTGAACATCAGACACATGTTTGGGATTTTCAGTGTCATTCCTTAATTTATAAATTTGGGGTTGACTGTCCAGTGTGTGACTGATTTCCACCTTTGAGTCATTACTAAGAGTATCTCAGAAGAATTGGTTTTTTATTTGCTTCTTAAGACCATTTAATTTTTGCCCTTCTCTCCTACCAAAGTTGGAATATTCAGGAGTAGAATCCCTTCCCAATCCCAAGTCAGCGAGACAAGAAAACTACATCCTTTATCTTACAACTTTTATCCTTAATGGTTCTGGGAAAATGCCTAATGGTTCTTAATTGTGTATTCTTCATTTACCTAGTATTGATTTGCGGTACCTTCAGTTACATCCCTGATAATTACCACCTTGCTGACTTTAATTGAGGTAGCAGTTGCTTTTATCATGGTTTTAGTCCACTTATTTATCTCATTTCAGTTGTATTTTCTTTAAAATAAAAAGAAAATTAAATATTACATTTAAGAACATCAAAAACAAAATGAAGATGCTTCTTACCTACTTAGTACCAGCAAGATGTATGTAATTGTAGGAATATTCCCCATTACACAGCTTGTGAGAGAGGGCAAAATACCAATGTCTCCATGTCTCAAACTGCACATATTACAGAACGTGAAAGTTGAGAATAGCATCTCAGAAGACAAGTACTTAACTAATAATAGTTAGCTATAAAGGCAGCCTATAAGCAAGGCAATGGATTTTAACAGCCTTACTGGGAGATGCCTCTAGAAATGGTGGCTGTGTCCTTCATAGTGCCTTTGGTATTCATCAACTATAGACCCTTTAAATGTCTAGTTCGGTTTTTTAACATTTCTTTTCCTTTTTTACAAATCCTTCCAACTGATCATATAATTACTTTAACCTTATGTTAATATGTCTGTGAATGTTTCTTTTTAATGATCAAGCTCACAATGTTTCTGAAGAAATGATAGGTAACAAATGAGAAAAAATAAAGCACACATTTTCTCACTTATACAAAAGTAAAATTATATGATTAATAATTAACTATTATTAATGCAACTCCCTAATTGTCTGTGTCCTTTCAGGACAGGTATTCTCTACCAAATTTGTAATGTTGCATTCGAAACAGGGGAAAGAGAAGAAAAAGTACTGAATCCAGGCAAGAGAAAAGGAAGAGTGTTAATTAATTTCCACAAGGGTACCAATCTGCTTATATACTTCCTAGAATACTCAACACTTTTCATCATGGCATTTAAATTTAGCACATTTAAAATTGTGATCTAAACAGGTTTTATAGACGATAGTGGGATCATGATGAGGACACAGAGAAGTCATTTACAAAGCTGGGGGGAAGGCTAACAGCTCATGCTCTGATGGAGGTACTTTAACCCTTTCAGTTCAACTTTCATAATCCACATAATCCAGAAACACATACCAACTGCGAATTACAAGGGGAAATTAAAAGGCAGCAGTAAACTATGTGGCTACATCTAGATGCAGGCTTCTTTTGGAAGAAGCTTTTCTGGAAGAAATCTTCTGAAAAAACTTCTTCCAAAAGAGAGTGTCCATGCTGCCAAAGCGCATCAAAAAGGCAATCTGCTTTTTTGAAAGATAGCATCCACACTGAATAGACACAGTCTTGCATTTAAGATGTGCTTACTGTGGATGGAGTAACCACCAGGGCACTTGTGCTTTTTCCTCTTTCCTCTTCTTTCGAAAGAACTCCCTCTTCCCCATCCCAACAGGCCTTTTTCCAAAAGAACTCTTTCGGAAAAAGGCTTCTTCCTTGTAGAAAGAGGTTTACCAATGTCAGAAAAATCCCTCTGTTCTTTCGATTTTTTTTCAAAAGAACACGATTGCAGTGAGGACGTAAATGACGTTTTTTTCGGAAAAACAGCCTTTTTTCTAAAATAAACTCTGTACTGAATAGAAAATAAGGTGATAGAAGTGATGATTTAGTAACATATGGGTAGGCCTTTGCCAATGTTGGTATCAAACTGCTCACTTACATGAGAACAGGAGATGAAGTAAGAAAAGAGTACTTAAAGGCAGCTTTCACTCCCGTCTTCTTCACACTACCAAGAACAGGCCTTGGGAGTTTGGAGAAGGACAGAAACATGATTCCTCATGGGAATGTCAAACTTAATTTAACTGATTATACGAGTGGAGGGTCTTTGACGTGGGGGTTTTAAAAATACTCTGATTTGTGCTGGTTATATCTAGGCTATGTTCTGTCAAACTAGCAACATTAATATCTCATATAGTAGTTTTCATTGCAAAAATCAACTTTTCCCAGTGTCTGAAGTATCAAACTTATTTCCTATTCTAAGTGCAAGACGGTGGTGGGAAATAGAGGGGAAATCAGAGAAATATTTCTTCTCCTAATATCACTGTGTTTTATATTATTTGCAACAAACAGAAAATCAGCTGTAAATATGCTTTTTAGGCTTATTCCTAACTGTTTTATAGAATAACCAGGATTAAAATTACACAGTATTATAAGCAACAAAATGAGCAATTTAATATATAAATGGATGGCTGCTGGCTTGCTCTTAGTTTGTTGTAAAATATTTCTCAAGTAGAGAGAATGGTAGAGGAAAATAAATCAGTGCACAAGTTATACAGTTTCTGCATCTTCATTTTTCCACACCAGTTTTACTTTTGATGTTATTTCCCAATGGAGACTATCTGAAAACTTATATAAAAATCACTTAGTCCATGTCACTTTTTACTGACTAGAAGTCAGTTTACCTATAAAATGTACAAAAAGACGTTATTTTAACTGTTTTGGTTCAACGGCACCTTGCTGAACAGACTGCTTGATCTTGAATAGTGATGTTCTATAACCTGTACTCTGATTCTTTGAGTTAAAATAATTATGTTCATATTTTCTTCTTACTGAAGCACCTTGTTTGTGTTTTTTAGTTTTGGTATTTTGTTTTTGCTGAAATGGGGAGAAGATTCATCAAATATTAGTATAAACCCTTTTATGTTTATGACCTCTTGCTACAGTGTTGAAAACATTCACATTTTGTCCTGCATTTCATCAGCATTTACAGATAAAAAATTAGTCACTTGTCCCAAAGGAAATGTCTAAACTAACATTTGCTATTCATTCATTATTCTTCATCGTGTTTTTCTTCTATATGTAAAAGCACTTTATTTTGTCTGAGCTGTCATCTAAATTTACTTTGTAATTCCTAAGGGCTGTCAGATGTTCATTAAATCTTGATTTTTTGTCAAGAGGAATTAATAATGTTGTTTTTTGAGTGAATTTGGAAGCAATACAGGATTGAGCTCAAATATTTGAATGCCATCTTAGTATTAAATTGGTTATCCAATTTTCAACTTAGTTTTACCTGTTGGATGAGAAATAATATATCCATATCTCCTTTTGTAATATTTGCCTTTCTCCATAACTGTGTTAAAGCACAATAGCTTTTCTGTAATTTACAAAAAAAAAAAAAAAATTTGTTGTTTAGAGCATGTCATGAATAAGAGCTAATAATGATCAATTATAAGCCTCCATTGTATATAATGGGATTTTTAGAAAATCAAAGCAAGTTCGACAGAATACCACAAACATTGATTTGTAGGACAGTAGGTCACCTTTCTTCTAAAACCAAGCTAATAAACAATTTGTTTTCCAATACTGTTTTGCTGCAAACTGCCACTTACATATCTAGGAACACAAACTCTAAAGTCATTACCTGTTATTGCTTTATTTATTACTTTTAATGGCTATATTTTTATTAGTTTGATCATTTTAATTTGCCCGTCTCAGTTATCATGTTCTTTGATAGAAAATCAATTAAAACAGCTAAGGATTTGGAAGATGTTTACAGTCTGTTTCACACTATCTATCTTTTTCTAATCTGTGTTTTATCAGCCAAGATAGAGCCATCCTGTCTCTACACCTTGTGCTGTCAAAACAGTGACAGGCCAAGCTGCTCTTGTTGACACAGTATGCTCATCTACCATGTAGGGTGGCATTACATTTACATTCTCCTGCACATTTGGAACAAAATGTGGGTGATGGAGCTTATTTCCCCCTCTCTTTATTCCCTTGTTTACATGTGCTGCCATATAATGATCAATCTGAAGTTGTGCAAATATTACATTATCCTGAGCTGTAATGCTCTGAAAGACCTCATTATTTAACTTCATTTCCTCCTGTTCTATGTGTAACAGATTTCTGACCGTATTTCCCAAGTCCTATGTATATTGACACAGTTTCCCCATCCTCTTCCAAGTTCAAATGTTCTAATTTTGATACTTTAGACATGCAGGTTCTACAGTCATTTGAACCCATATGCCATCCCTTCTGTCTCTTAATACATAAATAAATAAAATTACTTGTCTGTATTTTGTTGGCATTTATCTTGCCCTTCAGTGGGTAGGCTGAGCTTTGGGGACAATATCCAGCCCTCAGTGGCCCAGAGCTCAAGCAATCTAAATCACTTTTTCATTTCTGAGGCAGAGCAGTATGCTTCAGGCAAAAAGTATTGCAGTTAAGTTGGAATAAATGCTTTAAATTCTAGAACTAATGACAATGGATGATGTAGGGGATTATCTTTTTCAAGAAGAAGTACAGAGTTACTGTATAGCATCCAGTCGGGGACTTAAACCGTTACATTTTTTCCTATTATAGTAATTACTTTATGTATCTGATTGCTTGTTTGCTTTCCTCTTGACAGTGCCAGGCTTTTTTGCCCTTTTGGGAAGTGCTTTTTGTGGTAACTGTTTTTTTAACCTTGAGGTTTGTCCTTTTACTTTATTTTGTACTGTAACAGATTTTCCCAATAGGCAGGCTACTCCTGTGTGAAGGCTGGAAAGTTCAGCAAGTTTCCACTTGGGAAGCATCCCTGGAATTCCTCCATCAGAGACACAGGGTTTGTCCCATATCCAGTGGAACCAATCAGTGGAGGTTCTGTCTCTTAAAACTCAAGATTTGTGGAGGTGCAATGCTACCTTTACCCAGGCTTTTTCGAGCCTTGTTGGCACTCTGCCTTCTTCAGCTGCACTTGGACCCAGGCCCTACTACAAGGCAGGGTTCCACAATGTGGCATGTGGCAATGTGTAGCATGATAAACTCAGCATGTTTTTTTCATAAATCTTGAGAATAGTAAGAGAACAATTCTCCTTCATCACATACACCAGACTTCTTCAGGTGATTCATTGAGGTCAAAGCACAATAATGTGGAGGCAGCAATACTTCCATTCTCTTTCCTTCACAACTGGGCTCTTCCAAGTAAATGAATCAGGCCGTGGTGAAGGTTAGAAAGGCTTAATATTGGAGTAGAGTGGCCAAATGTGCGGCTTGTAAAATCAGAGAGTACAATAAGGTATGTGTCAGGACATTTTACTTCAACGTGAAGCCCTCCTAACCTCTGCAGCAGCCTAGGTGCATATCTACTTTGCATCCATTAGCAATGCTGTCTTTCTCCACCCAAAGCGATTCAGGGCAAGCTCTGACTTTCCTTCACTTGAAGAATAATAATCTACAGGTATTAGGATTCTGTAAGAATACAAAACTTTCACAAGATTTCATAGAATTCAACACAAGCTGTGCCATCTCGGCAGGCAGACCACGGGAATTTGAAAATGCTCCAAGAAACATTGGTCTTTTCAGCAGGGTCTTCCCTGTAGAATAGCAATGCTTTCCATGTTAGCCAACTCTGGGGGAAATTAAAAAAAAAAAACCCTGAATGCAGTTGAAGGGGAATGCCCTGTTTCCGGGTTTTCACCATTTCTGAACGGTGCAGGCCATCCCAAGTGGTGTCAACTACAGAATTGTGAATATTAAGTTGGCAAAACACAGGCAAAAGTAGCAGATTTTTGTGAAGGAAGCTGTATGTTTTTAGGCTTTTATTAGTGCTTAAAATTCAAAGTGTGTTCATATTCACTTCCTTTTGACTACATATAAAGACAAATAAGGAACATACTGAGTAGTAGGGGAAAGATCTTAAGGATGATATAGGATAGTTTTATGGCTAAAAGTTGCTCATTACAGTATATTTTTCTTGTATTACAGCAATTTCCCCCATTTTAATATGTTTTATATGCATTCTAGGATAGCAAATCCCAAATTCAAATTAAAATAACAAATGTAATGGTTTCATTTTTATTTACAAGTCTAAGAATTTTCTTAGGTCCTGGAAGCTGTTGCCGGTCAGCTGGAACCTCATGCTTTATCCCTTCATACACTGCATTTTTGCATAGCAACACATTCCTAACTGCATTGTAAAACTAATTCAAAATCAGTTCCATTATTTAATTTTGCAAGACACATGGATAATCTTTCAGTGATAAAACTTATGATTTAGTACTTATCACTAGCAAAACCAAGCAGATGGAGATGGCTCCATCTCACAAGCTTTATGGTGCATGCAAGAGCAACGTCCATCTTTTTCTGCCCAAAAGCACAGGCTGATATTTGCTTCCTCTTGAATTGTTTTTTGTGGGGCATAAAAACATGCCCCCTGAAATACAACTGATACCAAGCCATTAAAAATACTTAAAAAGCATTTGCAATTGCATGATTAATCTTTTATATATTTCATATTCGTTGCTTTATTTAGAAAAGAACTAAGGAGAATTGTTTAATTTTCTATTCTAGAAAGAGCATTTATCAGATGAAAAACAGATGCATCATGAAAAGCTCATCTGTCTCATATGGTTTCTGTTAAATAAGAGGCCATGAATTTTCCAATAACCACTCCCACTTGCTGATATTTACTATTTCATTGTGACTAATAGCACCACCTTTGTAAAGCCAGGACATTAAACCAGCAGACCAAGCTATTTTCTTGTTTAACTTCAGAAGTATGCGTATACGAATATGATTACACAAATCTGTGTATTGCATTTGTGCTAGGACTGTGCATCAGAACTGTTTTTGGCGCTATTGATTTTAGCTAAACCTCAGTTCCTAAGTCCTGTTTGTTAAATTGAGTAAAACTCTTTTTTGCTCCAGTCTGTCCGCTTGGAAGCTCTTTATGCCCTGTCCATTGGTTGCTCCGCTGAATAGGTTGTGTCAGCTCTCCCACTGCACTGTTAATTTAAACCTTTCCTTTTATTCCACTCATGCTTCAGTTAATTTGATTTGCCACCATGATTTAAGGTTTAATTTGTATGATTATACACAGATTGACCATAATATTCCTTCTGCCACCTTTGCAATGTCTGTTTGTTTTACCAGTGGCCAGGTTTGGATGTGTAAAAACTCAATAAATGTAACCAATGCAGGCCCATTGCTTGAAAGGTTTACAAACAACTTCTAGCCACTTCCTCTAGTTTGAAATGTGCAAGAATGTCTGGAGATGCCTTGCATCCCGCTCACTTGGAAAAATCTCCCACCTTCTATGAACACTATTTAAGTACACTCTCTTCCTTTATCAAAGGGATTTAGATTAGATTTGTTTCCTTGCAAAAGTACATTCTGCAGCTAGTACTAATGGTTACACCACAATTCTATGTGGCACCAAAGCTATAAAAGACCATTGCAGGTTTGTTAAAGTAGATACTTACTTTATGATCCTTCTGTAAAGCTCTTCCAAATCAGTCTGTTGTCTTTTACATGTCTCAGAGTTTGTATCTGCAAAAACAACAAGGAGTCCTGTGGTACCTTAGAGACTAATGGATTTATTAGGACATAAGACAAGAACATAAGAATGGCCATACTGGGTCAGACCAAAGGTCCATCTAGCCCAGTAGCCTGTCTGCCGACAGTGACCAAAACCAGGTGCCCCAGAGAGGATGGACCGAAGACAATGATCAAGCGATTTGTTTCCTGCCATCCTTCTCCAGCCTCTGACAAACAGAGGCCAGGGACACCAATTCTATTCCCTGGCTAATAGCCTTTTATGGACCTAACCTCCATGAAAGTATCCAGCTTCTCTTTAAACTCTGTTTTAGTCCTAGCCTTCACAGCCTCCTCTGGCAAAGAGTTCCACAGGTTGACTACACGCTTTGTGAAGAAGAACTTTCTTTTATTAGTTTTAAACCTGCAACCCATTAATTTCGTTTGGTGTCCTCTAGTTCTTCTTTTATGGAAACTAATAAATAACTTTTCTTTATCCGCCCTCTCCACACCACTCATGATTTTATATGCCTCTATCATATCCCCCCTCAGTCTCCTCTTTTCTAAACTGAAAAGTCCCAGTCGCTTTAACCTCTCCTCATATGGGACCCGTTCCAAACCCCTAATCATTTTAGTTGCCCTTTTCTGAACCCTTTCCAAGGCCAAAATATCTTTTTTGAGGTGAGGAGACCACATCTGTACACAGTATTCAAGATGTGGGCGTACCATAGTTTTTGTGGGTATTCATCTGAAGAAGTGGGTTTTACCCAGGAAAGCATATGCCCTAATAAATCTGTTAGTCTGTAAGGAGCCACAGGACTCCTCATTGTTTTTGACATGGTCATCACTTACGTACCCTAATAAATAAAGCTGAAGTTTTCCACATGTTACATGAACTCAGTGCATACTGCCTTGGGTATCTGTTTGTTTGTTTGTTTGTTTGTTTGTTTGTTTGTTTGTGTCCACCGAGGTTTTATAATGCCCTATATGAAGATGTACTTCCAAAAAGTCTAATTTTCTCCTTAATCCTCTGAGGCAACCAAAGCTATTTTTGTATGTTTGTTTTCTCCTCTTAACTTAGTTTAATTCTTTACCAGCTGCAGCAAAACCTGTCAATCAACTCTTAGGCCTTTTTTGATATTGTCCTTTCAGGTGTGCTGGCTAGAGATGTGCCAATAATGGATCTTTCTGCTTGCTAGCAATTCCAAAAATTTAAAAAAATTAAAATTCTTTCAGGTCTAACCAAAGTTGAAATTATTTGAAATTCTTGGTGCATTAAAAAGTTGAAAAAAAAATCCATCTGGGTAGAGCAAAATATTTCATTTTGACAAATCATAACCTTTTGTTTTAATTCCAACAAACTATTTTACTTTTTAAATGAAGTTAAAGGGGGAATATTGAAACAAATTGTTTTAAAACAGATATCCAAATAATTCTTCATTTTGAAATGTTGAAACAAAGCACTGTTATTTTCAAAACTTTTTATGGTAATGGGCTTTTTGTTGTTTTTGTTCTGGTTTTTTTTACAGAAAAAACATTTTGGCAAAGCCAGCACCTATTTGAAAATTGATTTGTTTTTACTGAAAATGTGCATTTTTAGGGAAAAAATTAGTCTGAAAAATGTAACTTAGCTCTAGTCTTGGCATAGACAATAGAGCACTTAGAAATGACCCATATTGGTTTTCTACTTTCTTCCTTTTTCCCTTGGCTTCCCATTCTCTCCCTTCCTCTGAGGTTCCACATCTGCCTGATAGGTAAAGAGGGCAAGATAACATAATTTAGAGTTTGTGAACATTACTTTCAGATCAGCCAATGGGTTTGTTCTTTACCTACAAGGCTGTTCAAAACTGCATTAATGTATTGTACCTGCACAATATCCATAGCAGCATCTCCTAAGTGCCTGTCCTATGGTTTGAAGCAGATTTATGTTTGTAATATGTGAACATTAACATTTTACAGGTACTTTGTTCCCTATCTTTACTGGTATTTTATGGGTAAGGAGCCCAGTTTCAATGCACTGTTGAAATCCTAGCTCTAACACATTTCTGCTGCCATTGGGTTCTCTGATAATGATGTAGATCCACAGTAGCAGCAATGAAACTAAACTGCCTTTGTTGTTTTATTCTAATAAATCTTTCAGAGTTAAGTTGCATGATTATAAATAGCTGAAGAACTTATTTGTTAAAAATAAATGGTAATTTATCTTCACTGGCTTACAGAAACAAAGTAACTACAGAATTAAGTTTTAAGCTGTGAATAGAATAGGACTCAACAATAGAAATCTTGCAAGCTAAAAAATCCTACCACAGAAGGCCATGACCAAAAATTCCAGTATTTAGAACCACACACGGTATAAATGCAGACAGTAACGACAAACTCAAAAGTCATTGTAAAGCATTGACAATATATTTTCCACTGTACAAGACAGAAATTAAGAATAGGGCCTACCCCAATAGCGTATAGTCTAAAAGGCCCATTAGGGAACACAGCAGAGGGAGTTTGGTTTTGGTCAGAAATAGATATGGTTACGGTATAGAAGGCATATGATAGGGCAGATTTTGTGGGGTTTGTGCAAGAATTACATTTTCATGAAAATTTGAATGAAAATAAAGTATGGGTCTAAAATGTGCTGAACAATTTTAAATATGGTGTAATTTGAGTATGGTAAAGACTAGCAAAAGTAGGTTATGACTATAAATTCAGTAGGGCATTCACCATGATTTTAGTTGCATCAGTTAGCAAGTAGATTGAGATACTTATAGATGAAAACTGACTTAATTATGACTTGACTATGAATAGAGCCCTGCAAATCCGTGGATACGGTTGGGGAAAAGTGGCTCATTTTTATGGTTGTGGTTACAAATGTATCTAGAACCCTGCAGATTTGCGGATATCTACTTTATATCTGCTGGTATTTGCATCCAGGGATGTGGGTTCAGATATCCGTGGCTCATTTTTGCAGATGCAGATGCGAATACAAAATTATGAAGTCAGTATCAGAACAAAATAAGAAAAGATGCTTCTGAGGTAATGGTGCTATACTAGGGCTTACAGGATGATTCCTGACTCTGCTGCAAGCTTCCTTTCTGTCCTTGGACAGGTTCACTTACCGCTGGATTTTTTTAAGAT